TCTTTCGAAGCCCCTGTATTCCTCGTTTCACAAGGAAGAGGGGCTCTTCTGAAAGAGGAAGTTTTTCCAAAATTTGGCCCAGTGTAGATGGGCCAAATTTCGGAAAAGCCTCTTCTGAAAAAACAATTGTGGATCGCAATTTGTGTACCTCTTTCCAGTAAAATGCCGTTGTCTAGACTTAGCCTCGCAGAGGCCTGAGATCTTTCGAAGCCCCTGTATTCCTCGTTTCACAAGGAAGAGGGGCTCTTCTGAAAGAGGAAGTTTTTCCAAAATTTGGCCCAGTGTAGATGGGCCAAATTTCGGAAAAGCCTCTTCTGAAAAAACAATTGTGGATCGCAATTTGTGTACCTCTTTCCAGTAAAATGCCGTTGTCTAGACTTAGCCTCGCAGAGGCCTGAGACTCAGGCCGCTGCCTCAGCAGCAACAATGCTAAAGTCTCAAGCCCTTTAAATCACCACTGTAGTGCCTCTCTGGGAAGGTAGGGGTGTGGCCCCACGCAGTCCCAGCGGCAATGAGAGCCAGCTGCCATTGGCCTGCCCCTTCTGCCTGCACTCCCCTCCTCCCCCCGACACACACACCTTGCCCAGTGATGTGGCGTGGCTGTCAGCTTCCCAGGGCTTAGCGTAAAGCAAATTACAGATCTTGAAGAATATTAGCTACATTTCTATATGTATCCCCTGATTTAATTTGGAGATTAGGAGATCCATACTAGCTTTATGTCAATGCCTTGTATGTGGATAAAATAAATAGTCTTGGTTAATTTGAGGTTTTATACACTATTCTCTTACAATGGGTTAAAAAATTTTTTGCCTCCCCTTGTTAATACCAAGTGACAATACACACTCAGTTATAGGATAGCGATGACCCAAATTCACATCAGAAAATCCCTAGTAGAAAACTACAATTGTTCCATGTCATATTATACATTTAAAGCTTTTAAAATGTAAGGAATTGTTTTCCTCACTGAGGAAAAATCAACCCCTTTTACTTGGGACTATCCTTCCAGTTGCTTTATTTCTTTTCAATTTAGAAGGACTTCAAGGGCAATAGGGTTATCAGGGACAGCCAGCATGGATTTGCCAAAAAAAAATCATGCCAGATTGACCTAATTTCCTCCTTCGACTGTGTTACTGGCATAGTGGATAGGGGAGAAACAGGAGATGTGATATTTCATGATTTAATACGTTGTTTGACACAGTCCCACATAACATTATCATAAGCACACTAGGGAAATATAATATTAAATGAAATGACTAAAAGGTGGGTGCACAACTGGTTGAAAGACTACATCAAAAGTGTAGTTATCGATGGGTTGCAGTCAAACTGGAAAAACTTATCTAGTGAGGCCCTTAGGCATCAGTCTTGGGTCCAGTACTATTCAATATTTGTGTTAATGACTCGGGCAGTAGAGTGGAGATTATGCTTATAAAATGTGTGGATGACAAGCTGGAAGGGTTGCGAGTACTTTGGAGGTCAAATTTGAAATGACCTTGACAAATTAGAGAACTGGTCTGAAATCAATGAGATGAAAGTCAATAAGGACAAGTGCAAAGTATTTTATTTAGGAAATAAAAAGCAAAGGCATAACTGCAAAATGGGAATCGCTGGCTAGGCGGCAGTACTGCTGTGAAGGATCCAGGGCTTATCGTGGTTTACAAACTGAATATGGGTCAACAACGCGATGCAGTTGCAAAATAGAATAAAATTATTTGAGGATGTATTAGCCGGAGTGTCGTATTTAAGGCACAGAAGCTACTTATCCCTCTCTACTTGACACTAGTGAGGCCTCAGCTGGAGTATTGTGTCCAGTTCTGAGCAGCGCACTTTAGGAAAGTGGTGGACAAACTGGAGAGAGTCCAGAGGAAAGCAACAAAAAAGATTTAGAAAACCTGACCTACAAGGAAAGGTTCAAAAAATTGGCCATGTTTAGTCTTGAGAAAATAATAGAGAGGTGGGGCCTCGTAAAATCTTCATATCTCTTAAGGATGTGGTCCTCAAATGGTGGTGCATGGTGACTTCTTCGGTGGTCCACAGGAACATTGTCCAAAGGCACACGGTGTGAGCAAGTGCCGCAATTAGGCTGTTTTATGCTGTGTTTACAAGCATGTGGCGCATCACCTAGGATGCAACCACGTTATGTTGTCAGTAACTTCCGTCTGAGGCTCTGAGCATCAGTGTAGCTGCCCCCGTCATGCTGAGCAGTTGCTGTGTCATTCGTCCTGTGCTACATGTGCTGGAGGTAGTCCACGAAAATTTTTTGATTGGCCTGGTGGTCCGTGGACTGAAATGAGTTGAGAACCACTGTCTTAAGGGCTGTTATAAAAAGGACGGTTACCAATTGTTCTACATGTCCAATATACGCAGGAAAAGAAGCAGCGATCTTTATCTGCAGCAATGGAAATTTATTTTAGCTATTAGAAAAAACTTTTGTAGCTGTAATGGTAGACATGTTCTGCATCAAACTTTCAAGGGAGGTGGTGGAATCCATGTCACTGGAGGTTTTTAAGAACAGGTTGAACAAACATCTGTCAGGTATGGTCTCAGTTACTTGGTCCTTCTGTCATCCGACGGTCAGGGCAGTGTGTGCGTGTGTTACACCCAAGTCTTCAACTGCTGAGACGCAAGGTCCCGTCGCAGCGGGCACCCTAGGAGGCTGGAGGGTGCCCCGAAAAGAGTTTAAAGTCTGTGACTTTACCGCTAGGACCTGGGTCCCGTCGCAGAGGGCAGCCAACAGGCTGACAGATGCCCCGAGTTAATAGGAAGAGCTTATTACATCTCAGATTTCAGCTGCTAGGATACAGGATCCCTTCGCAGCAGGCAGTCTAGGGAAGACTGAGAGATGCCCCAATGGATCTGTCACCTGGGAGTGACACGATCCAAACGCCCAAGCTCTTCCTATACCTGTCCCTTATGACCCCTATGTCTGTCCCTTTATGACCGGCTGAAGTTCTTTTAAATTGTGCTTGGTTCTGTTACAGCAACTGAAGGAGTTAGGTTAAAACTTAAACAGTTACAGGTTTATTAAACAAGCTTATAAATCATATGGTTACAATGGCTATTGCTCTATTTTTTAACTGCTAGCAAATATAGATCTTTAAAATAGTTACAAAGAAGATAAAGATAGAAAATAGAAATAATGGTACCAAGTAACAGCTTAATCTTTAAAGAGCTCTAAGTCTGTGTACACTTAAGACAAAGGACCACATCCAGGTACAATTTTTACCCCCTTCTGTGCCTTTCGACTCCAGCGGGTCAAGCCAGGGCCAGTCCCTCAATTCCTAGGAAAGACGAATACGAGGTGGAACCTCGGGAGGTCAAACACCTAACCCGACCAGCAGATAGATGGTGGATTGACACTCAGAGTAAATGTGCTGCTGGACCCATCTTTATACCCATAGGGGCCCATATCCTCTTTCTTATCTAAGATGCCAAATTGTACTGGTCCGTTTTTGTGGCGCCAGTTCTTACAAGCAAGTTTCAACTTAATTTACACTTGCAAGAGAGATAACTAAATTATGAGTACTGGACATTTTTTTTTTTTACTGGGCAAGAGATTCCTCCCCCCACGGATGGCTGTGTGTTCATATCAATATGGGTTTCAGTCAAGGTCATTTCTTGGCAGCCTCTTGGTCAGCAATTGGCGTATCTCTGTTTACAGCCATTCAGGGTCACAGCCTGCATATCCGGGCCTTCTGTTCAAGGCTTACTGCTCTGTGTGCCCTGTATGCTCCAGGCAAGCAAAGATGGATGTTACAGGGGGGTTCCTGTCTGGCTATACCTTCCTCAGCAAAGACTTTATGACTTCTTAAGCCCTACATGTCTATGATTCTATATTTCCCCCCCACAGAAATCACTACCAACTTTAGAAAACCAGATAAAGGAAAAACTTCAGTTGGCAAACAACAGGCTACAAAAATGTGGCAAAGGTGTGCCAGAATCAGTGGAAGATCAGATGCCCTTCCTAGTAGATGTGAGTATAAATATGTATTTGGTACCCTTATTGGAACAAAAACATTGGTTAGCATTTGGAATTGTGTGGCTATTGCAAGTAGGTCTCTTCTAGGCTGCATACTCAGCATGAACTCACTAAATAACTACAGACACATCCACATGTACTTTCCTTAACATAGAAGAAGTAGGCCATGAGCTTGCTTTCAATTCCCAGTCTTCATAAATCCAGAATCTATATTCACCAATAAAATAAACCAAATTAAAAATCAGATTATTTCTGTTTGTACATGTCAGCTCTAATAAAACAATGGGTAAATTACATTTGGTTACATTAAGGCTGTGTCTACACTGGGCCACGTATTCCGGAAAAGCAGTCGCTTTTCCAGAATAACTTGCCAGCTATCTACACTGGCCGCTTGCTTTTCCGGACAAGCAATGACGATCTACTGTAAAATTGTCAGTGTTTTTCCGGAAAAACTATGCTGCTCCCGTTCGGGCAAAAGTCCTTTTCCGGAAAAACTGTTCCGGAAAAGGGCCAGTGTAGACAGCACAGTAGTCTTTTCCGCAAAAAAGCCCCGATTGCGAAAATGATGATCGGGGCTTTTTTCCGGAAAAGCGCGTCTACATTGGCCACGGGCACTTTTCCGGAAAAAGTGCTTTTCCGGAAAAGCATCCTGCCAATGTAGACGCACTTTTTCCGGAAATACTTATAACGGAAAACTGTTTCGTTTTAAGCATTTCCGGAAAAGGGTGCCAGTATAGACACAGCCTAATTGTACTAATGCACCTAAAGTTGCTGCTAATAGAAAATGTTGTATTAAGGAAAAGCATAACAGAAATCAAGAATAAGTAGTTGTATTCCATATTTACAAGGTCATATAATTTTTTGCACAAAATTCCAGTGATTTTTAAAAGCAAAATTGTCTTCTACCTGTATTCTAACCAACCCAGGTAATCCCATAAAACTCTTTTACAGCTTCAAACAATCCCAGCAGTTTGCAGTGAGTAGGGACTAGGGATATGTGCTAAAACAGAAGCTCTCAAAGTTCTGACAGGGCCATATTTTAATACAGAGACTGCCATGTACATTCAAAATAATGCTTACATGGAAAAACAACAAAGCACTCAATATATCTTTAGTTTCTTTTGATGAAATTTAGCTCTGGGAGCAAGGAGGATTATTGTTATTCACTGGTATTACCAGAGCATCTAGAACAGCCTGCATTGAGATGAAGACCGCACTGGGCTAAGTACTGTACACACACAGACTAAAAAGGTATTTGCTTTCCAGGAAAGTGTGCCACCTATGGACAAGGAAAGAAAAGGATGAGTGGGAAACAGACATTGAGAATTGAAGTAACCTGTGCAAGGTCACACAGCAAGTCAGAAGTAGAGCTGGGACTAGAAAGCTAGGCTTCCTGAGTCTTTGCCCTACATTCTGAACCACAGTGTCCTCAAACCTGCAGCAGTTCACAGTTGAGCACCTCAGTGCTAAAATACAGTCTCTGAGCGCTGATGCATCTCAGAATGTCACTGCCCTGGCTTGATCTACAATGTAATTGCAAGGGCGAATTCCAGAGTTTTTCAGAGAGCAGTGTTCAACTCTACAGAAGTTCCACTCCTTGCTACAAAGTTTGAGTTATGTATCATTGCAAACAACTCTGGATCTGAATTTAGCCCCCCGAGTGTTGTTTAACTGACAATTTCCTGTCTCTTTACAGAAACTCAAACTCTTTAATCAGAACATCATAAATTCAGTGCATGGTGAAGAAATTGTAATTGATAAAACAAAAAAAAGACTATTCACACAAGTTCGAAAATGCTTTAATGAGTGGGAAAATTATGTTCATGACAGTGAACTGAAAGGTAAACACCAAATGTTGGTTGGCCTGCAAGTTGTTCTGCTCTGACAGACATCTATGCCTGCCCAGAGTCCTAGTGAAATCAATAGGGCTCCGTGTGGATACAAAGGTTTGCTTGCATGGACCTGCTTGTTCTTGTTGGGGGTCTTTATCCATCATTAGAGATGAGTACAAAGGGCAAATTCCATATGTGGATCCAAGTATATGTTGTTCATGTTTAAGTATAGAGTTTAGTGTGATCCAGTCACTACTTCTAATGAGATCCACTTTGTCATGTTCTACCTGAAGTTGTACCAGCCCTAAACATGAAAGCTAATGAAAGTTCATTGCAGTGATGCAAGGTTGTTTCGATTTGTTTGTTTCCCTGACTGTGAGCGTGTTGATTGATCCAAGTAAAAGATATAAATAAAAATTCTTGTGCATGTAGATAGTGCTTGTGATTACTGCTTAAGATAAGCTGCTCCTTATCTTAAGGAATGCCAGCTTCCTTAAGATAACGCAGCCTGTTAATTGCTTTAAAGTGATTGTGAATCTCTCGGATTGGTAAACAACAGTGCTATTGTAACAGTACATCTGAAATTATAATTGGGTTTTCAAAATGGTCAAATGCAGGTGATTGCACAACTGCCTTAGGCCCCTTCACTATCTCAGCTTGTTAGACCCTTTCTGTGGTGACTTTAACACTACACCCTCAAATATCTACAGTGTTACAGGCAGGTGTGCTACACAGTCACAGTGTGTGCAACTTTATAGCTACAATCTTCATATTCCTGACTGTTCCTGTAGCCAGGGGCGGATACAGGGCAGAGCGAACGGGGCGGCCGCCCCAGGCCCCGCGTTTAAAAAAGCCCCGCGCATGCGCCGTGGCAAAGGGTGGGGGGCCTGCGGAGTTATGCTGCCCAGGGCCCCGCAAAACAGTCATCTGCCCCTGCCTGTAGCTGTTTTGTATCCAAATAGATACATGCAAACTAAGAAATAGCTTTGGCCCTTTATTAAATCCAGGCCTTTTCACATATCTGTGCTGTTATATTAAAATCTACTCTGAAGCAGTGGAAATAACTGTCCTGCTGTTTTAATTGCCGTAGTAAATGACATTATGAAAGAAGAAGTGTGGGGCTTTGAAAATCAGTATCGTGGAAGAGAGCTCCCAGGATTTGTCAATTACAAAACTTTTGAGGCCATTGTGAAACAACAAATTGTGCTGCTGAAATCACCTGCTATTATGACCCTGAAGACAGTTACAGGTGAGTTTCATTCACTCAGTTTGCCATAAACTTTGACCAAATTCACTTAACTGCTTTTATGATTGCGTAGCTTTCAATCGTGTGACAAGCTTTTGGGGGCAGGTGAGTTTGGGGGCTGGAATCAGAATGATGGCAATTATAAACTTGTGGAGTGTAAAATATTGAAATATTCAACCCTCCGCTTGCTTCTTCAGACAAAGTCGTTCCATTCATAGGACAATTCGGAGTGGTTGCCCTGGGTCCTGCTCATGGGCAGCAGCACCTGGTGGAGGGAGCCATGGGAAGCAGAGCCACCCAGTAGCCTGCTGTGTGCTCCACTATCTCTAGCTAGGTTGCTCTGCTTCACCGTGATGGTGGGAAGTAGAATGCCCCAAGTCTGGTCCTTGCCCACTCCATTCCACTCCCCCAGTGACATTTTTAACAGCTTGGAGCACAAAATAACTCAAAGTATGATCCAGATAATGGTGGAGTGTACATTCATTTTACGCTGTTCCCTGCAAGTGCCATTACAATCGCCACAGGACCCATGGACTTAATTTGATTTAGTGGCAATGTTACAAGCCTTCCATACTGAGGCTCCAAATCACCAAATGGAATGGACTACTCAAATGTTTAAAGATAAGAATGTATTTACAATGTTTTGCTATATCAGGGTCTCAGCAGAGAAAATATTTATTTAAACTTAAAGTTTTTCATGATTTTTATTCAGCTGATTTACGAGAAAAACATTTCATAATTAGCTTGGAAAACCAAGTAATACACATCACAAAACAATCAGCCATGCAGGACAGAAATACACAAACCAAGAAGCTTTTAAATTAAAACATTCTTTAAGCTACAGCTGAGCCCAATTTGTCAATGAGTCATATGGTTCTTATTTTTATTCTGCTGAAATTAAATTATAGTTATTTCCCCTTTCTCTTTTTAGAGCTTGTACAAGAAACTTTTACTGATATTGCCAGGCAACACTTTGAGAACTTTTTCTACCTTTTCAGAGCAGCAAAGGTAAGGGGCTATTTATGGCAGTTGTTCTCAACCTCAGCTAGGGGTACACTTACCTGAGGAGTATGGAATAGGCAAAAGCCTCCGAGGGGATATATCCACTCATCTAGGTATTTGCCTCCTTTTACAACAAGCTATATAAAAAAGCACTGGTGAAGTCAGTGCAAACTAAAATTTCATGAACAATGACTTGTTTGTACTGCTCTAGATACTATATATTGAAATGTAAGTAAAATATTTACACTCCAATTGATTTTATAATTATATGGTAAAAAAGAGAAAGTAAGCAATTTTTCAGTACTAGTGTGCTGTGATACTTGCATTTTTATGTCTGATATTTTTAAGTACAGTAGAGTCTCGATTTTCCGACCTTCACTTATCCAACATTCCATTTTATCCGACAGTGCCGCCCATCATGTGACGGCAAGGGGCTCCAGGGATGATTCACACCACAATGGCCTTGCTTTCCCTTTTTCCAGGACTGGGCAGGAGCTCTGTTGGCAGGTCTATGGGGGCTCCTCTCAGCCTGGCACATGCAGCGTGGGCTCAGTAACCTTACCCAACCCCCCACGCCTGGGGCAGCTCACGCCTGTGCTGCGGGCTCGCCTGGTGCTCAGGTGTGCTGGGCCCGTGCCCCACTCGGGGTCCGATCCTGGCCGTCCTGCTGTGTTAGTGGCCTGCGGGCTCGCCTGGTGCTCAGGTGTGCTGGGCCCGTGCCCCACTCGGGGTCCGATCCTGGCCGTCCTGCTGTGTTAGTGGCTCTGCTTTTGGGAGCAGGCCTGGACCTGCTTCCCCCTCCCAAAACTTTGCGGGCTGGGCGGGGGGAAGAGAGGGAGACGCCCCCCTGCAGAGTGAGCCCGGCTCCTGGCCAGAGCAAGGGGGGAGTCCAGGGGCCCGCTTCTCCAGGCCGAGGCAGGAAGGGAAGGGAAGGGGTGTGTGTGGCGAGAGGAGGGGCTGCGGAAAGGCAGGAGCGCTGGGGCCTTGGGCACATCCAGTTGGCCCGAGGAAGGGGGAGGACGCGGCCCCTCACAAGGATGCAGCATCCGGAATCCACCAGAGAGGGGGCTGCGCGTGCGCCAACTGCTGCCAAGACAAAGAGCAGATCCTGGCTGGGAGGCCTCCCCCTCCAGCCACTGCCACTGCTGCTATTGCTGCTTCACTCCTGTCCCTCGGCCAGAGCGCACCAGGCCTCTGCCCCGCCATGAGCCAGTGCCATCCATATTATTCGACATTTCTGGTTATCTGACCATCCTGCGGTCCCGTTTAGGTTGGATAATTGAGACTTTACTGTAAGTAGTTTTTAATTTAGATTAAAACTGGGTGTACACAAGTCAAATCAGACTCACGGGTACCATAATCTGGAAAGCTTGAGAGCCCCGGATATGTGATATCTTGTACCTAATCATCATTAATGGCATGATTTTAAGTCTGTTTTTATTCTTGGTCCCTCTATTATCTAGCTGTATAACTTCCCACTGGTTGGTGAAATATTTTATTCAGTGAATGGTGTACAACATAAAGTTACACAGTGAAGCGACAGATCTATAAAAGTGAAGGCATTGAACAATAATGCCATAAATGTGAGGACATGGGGCCTGATTCTGATTTCACTTAACTGGTTTTACACATGTGTAACTTCACTGGCCTCCATAGAGTTACTCTGGAATTATGCTGAGACCAGAATCTCAAACTCATGAAGTCTCATACAATGAATAGTTTGTGGGACTTTAGTTCCCTGATTCCTATTAAAGGGAGCCTTGGTGGGACAAACCCCACTTGTAGGCTGTCAGTCATTCTGTCCTCTGAGGCCTTGCCTCGGGTGCACAGAGCACAATTAGCAGAGATCTTGACTTTAGTTTAATGCCAAATTGTTTGATTATTACTAATTTGGTTCATTTGGTCAATAATCTGATGGATCATTTAGTCACGGATTTCGTTCTGAACTCTGAAGGTGTCACAAAGACTTGGGTGGAGGGTGCAGTTGCTTCTTAGTCAGCTCAGCTCTCTCCAGCTACATTCTCAGTATGGTCTGAGAGGTTCAGCTGGGACGCTGGTCAAGCTCCATTCTTTGCAGCCGACTTCAAAAGTGGGAATCTTTCTGTTATGGAGTGTTTGGTGTAGAATGAGCTTAACCTAGGAATGACTTTGGGAGGTTCAGATTCATTTATTGCCCCTCTGCATTCCAGGCAAGCTGACTACAGCTTTGTGTAGCCTGCCAGTGAAATCGCTGGGGTTTGTTGTTCTGGGTGGCTTTGATGTCTGCACAGAGGAAAGCTGTATTGAGAAAGGGTGTGTCTAGACTACCTAGTTTTGTCGACAAAAGTGGACTTTTGTTGACAAAACAATACCAGCGTCTACACTACCGCGGAGTTCTGTCGACATAACGTCGACAGAACTCCGCGGTTTTGTCGACGCTGGTATACCTCATTTTACGAGGCATAACACTTTCTGTCGACAGAACTCTGTCGACAGAAGGTGTTATTGCCTGTAACACTGCGTCCAGACTACGGAGTTCTGTCGACAAAGCGGCTTGCTTTGTCGACAGAACTCCATGTGTCTGGACGCAAATTGTCGACGGAAGTTTTGTCGACAGTATCTGTCGACAAAACTTTCGTCGACAAAACGCGGTAGTCTAGACGTACCCTTAGTTTGGTATCTTAGTACAGTGTAGGTTCTAGCTGGATCTAGAGTGGAAAATGCTATAATGCTGTTTGATGATTCAATGAGCGTCTAATAACCTTTGTCAGAGTTGGACTGTTTGCCTCTGCAGACAGAGGTCAGTGCTAACTTTGCTTCTTTTGGGGAAGTAGATACATTTAGATGAATGCTTAAGAGTCATGAGTAGTTGTATAAATTGTTGGATGGTATTGGGTCTGCTCTATTAATGCTTCTGTTTTTAAATCATAGAATAGAATTGAAGACATAAAACAAAAACAAGAAGAGGAAGCTGAAATTGTAATCGCTAATCAGTTCAAAATGGAACACATCGTTTACTGTCAGGACAGACTTTACAGCGAGGATTTACAGGAAGTTAGAAAAACTGCTGGAGTCCTCTCTTTCGGTGCTGCTGTTGCTCATGTTAAATCTGTTGCCTCTCAAAAACAGTATTCCATTGATGAAATGACTTATCACTTGAATGCATATTTCAAGGTGAGTTTCTTGTCTCTGTACTTCCCTCCATCAGTCCTACTTTGTAGAACAGCAGTCTCTGGGGAGGAAATGTACAGATGATTTTTTAAGGAAAGGGGTGATTCCTTTCCTTTTAAAAAAATGCTAAGAGTAAAGAGTAGTGCTTTGGGCAAATACAGGATTAACAGTACTGGACTCAGAAGACTTATGGACAAAAAAAAACTGTTCAAATATCCTTAGTTGTAGTCATTGGTTTTTGGTACTTGTTCCCATTAAAATTCTCAATTTGCAGTAAGCTTAAAGAGTAACAACTTGCTGCCATATGTAACAGTAGGTCCTATTGCTAGAAGTGATATAACATTGAGAAGTCATAGTCTCAAAATGAAAGGGAGTTAATTAACTATACTTTCATATCTATAGCTTATTGACTAGACTGCCTCTAACTAAAATGATCACTTGTAAAAATACAGGCTCCTATTTTCAGAGTTTCCCTAATGCAGAGGTGACATAGGGGAGGGATGGAAAGCATGAGGGATCACTTTTCTCCCCTTCCCCCTTCCAATTTGCTGCTTGGCTTGTAGCTGGCTGCCCTCATTCTGTCCCCCAGAGGCACAAGTCATCTCTGGATCCATCCTTAATTATTGATTACATCATCCTATTGATTCTCTTATTTTCTCTTAGGGTGCAGGCAATCGTCTTTCCACTCAAATCCCTTTGATTATTCAGTCCCATGTTCTCCAGGACTATGCTGAAAAGTTACAGAATGCAATGCTGCAACTTTTGCAAGATAAAGATCAGTTCAGCATTCTTCTTTCTGAGAAGAAAGATGCTTCCAATGAAAGGAAAATTTTGAAGGAAAGAATTAAACGACTGACACAAGCTCGACAACGCTTAGCAAAGTTTCCAGGTTAAAGCAAATGCACGAAGCATCAGCACTTACGTTTAACTCAATGGTCTCCAACCTTTTTACATCCAAGATCACTTTTTAAATGTCAGCCATGCGCTTCCTGAGCAGTTGGAGTTGGCACAGTCCCAGGATTCCTACCCCCCTACACAGGAAGGCAGCAGGGGGAAGAAAGTTGCATGCAACACATCCAGCATTTCAGGAAACACGCTGGCTGTTTGGGGAAGGGGAAGAGCAACCCGCATGCTTCCCGAGGCCTCGGACCTGATTTCCCTCCTCCCCCCCATGCCGCAGGAAGCAGGCGCTACCTCCACTGTCGCTGGAGGTAGCCTCAGCGAGGTCTGCTTCTTGGGGGTGAGGGGAAATTGGGAGGGCCCCGAATACCTCGTGATCGACGAGTCAATCACAATCAGCAGGTTGGTGACCATGAGTTTAACTCTTATGTGTGTGCGTTAGTTAACCTAGGCCTAAAGATTCAGTAGTAACAGTTGGGCACTGAGGACGTTTGAAAATCAGGCCACTTATTACATGACAGAATATGGATTTTGATGCCTTCCTGTTTTTGAAAATCCTGACCCTGGTGACCTCTAACTGGGAATAGCCTGGATAGGGAAGAGGAGTTGGCCTTCAAATTTCAGTGTGTGGAGGATTCTTCTCTCCTCAGGGGGGAAACATAGTTTCTTTATAATACTGGCCACACTGGAATCCTGACCAAGTTCATACAACTGGGGGAAGGAAGTAAAGTCTGAATTTCCTGCCAGAACGTCTCTGTACCAGACCCATCTTACACTCCCATCTCACAATATCTGAGACATCCCTTCAGGGCATCTTGCAGCTGCATTGCTGCCCAGCTCCCATGATCCCCTGATAGCATGTCTCCTTTTATGTCAGCCACCTCTATTCTAGAAATGCCCCCCGCCCTCCTTACCAGCCCCTCTAGCAGCCATCTTCAAATACATAGAACTGGGACCGCATACAGAGGAGCCGACCGCCTCATTGAGCCCCTGGACAAGGCGGGAGATGGGGGCAGGGCCTCAGGCAGAAGTGGGGGGCCAGGGGCAGTCAACCTTCATTGTTGCCTGGACTGTGGCACATCCTCCCCTCCCCCCAGCCTTTAGCGCTGCCTGGAGTGCCCTCCGGTGGCAATTTAAAAGGCCCAGGGTTCTGGGCTTTACCACTGCCACAACAGCAATGGCTGGGAACCTCAGCCCTCTTGAATTGCCAGGCCTTGGGGCAGTTGCCCTCTTTGCCTCACCACCCACCCCACCCCCATCAGCAGGCCTGACCACATGGACACCTCCTCCCCCCTCCACCCATTGTGGGCCTTCATACAAAACTCTGCCTCAGCAGGAGGAGGAGTTTCCTCATCATGCAGGGAGGCAGGCCCGTCCACCTTTCTGAAAGGAAGGGGGCTATCAATAGGGGACTTTAGATTTGTGCTTAGTGCTTTTGCCTCTTTGTGATGCTCACAGCAAATGTTTTTGCTACAGTTTTTAGCATATGCTGCTTTAAACTTTGATAATCTTGTGGTACCTTATTTAAAGCATAATTTCTATATATATTACATAGTGTCCTCTGTCATTTAAGCTGTGAGTTATTGTTTCTATGGTGTGTGCATTTTTTTCTCTGGGGACTCAGTGGACAGTCCCATCAAGTGAAAAATTATTCCGAGTTCCTAAATAAATAGTTGAAAGCAACAGCGTATATGTTTTGTCTCACGTAGTATCTCACAGCTGCACCCACTCTTCAATTTATCCTACAAACATCTGACATATTTTGGAAGCTGGCTGGGCATTTTAATAAACTCTTTTCCATAAGCAACGTGTGTCTCTATTCAGTACGGTGTATCATTCTATAATATTGCATTCCAAGTGCAACATGCTTCTTTAAGGCATGATGTTAATGTAAGACATCTTGTGATAGCCCTTCCATGCATGACACACAGAGACAACTGCACCTTCTGGGGACATTTAAGTAGAAAG